TTCATAGCACTTAACGGTTTCTAAAATTATGTTAACTTATTCATCCCCTGTGTCCCCAAGGAAATGGCATTATGAATCCAGTTACTACTGAATCTATTACAACATTATCTGATAGAAAGTGAATATTCAAATAAGTATCTGTTGAACGGTTTAGAAGTTCTGGGGTATGTGGTAACTGGTCTCCAAAGATAGCCTCCAGCAATTAATTCCACCCGGCTCTGTAAGTACACGTCACTCTTCACATCAAGAAGTGGAGCTTATTTTCTCTCTGCACGAATCTGAGCTGTGCCTGTGATTGTTTTGACAAGTAGAATATGGCAGAAGAGGTGTTCTGGAATCTTTGAGCCTAGGCCTTAGGAGAACTGGAAGTGTGTCCTTCCTTCTTCATGGAATGCTGGCTCTTGGGACTCTCCTTGGAACCCAGCCACCATGATGTGAGCACCCACATGAAGGAGAACCGAGTCACGCCAATGATCAGCTCTAGCTCAGCTCATAGCCCAAGTCATGACTAGCACGTGAGTGAGCCCTCTTCACTTCCACCCAGCTAAGGCTCCTAGATGACTGAAGCCCCAGCTGACATGATAAGGAGTAGAAACCACCACCCAGCTAAGCCCAGTTAACCCAAAGACTCATGAGAGACAATTAAACAACTGTTTTAAGTCACTAAGTTTAGGGTGGTTTGTTATGTAGTGACAGATAACTAAAACAGAGCAAACACAACTAGCTGAAAATAGCTTTGTTAATAAACTTATTACGATATACGATTTATCAAAAATGAATTCTCAAAACTATACAATCTGAACTATATTGGTTTATAGAAACTGTAGCAAATATAAATAATCAAAACAATGTTTCATATTTGGTTAGTGTTAATACACCAGTAAAAATAATCCAGAGAACAAAAGCGTTTCCCATTAAACACAATCGCTACTAGTAAGTTCACAGTACTACTGCCATGCAACACAAAACAAGTATCAGCTTTCCTCAAAATGGTTTTTAATCCTCATTTCTTTTCTGATGACCCCCATTTTCTAAGTGACTCAGGTTTGAAACTTCAGTCAACTTTGATTTTTCTCTCTCCCTTACACAAAACACTTATGAATCGCTAGGTACTGAAGATTTTATTTCAGCCAATGCCACTTATTCCCTTCTTCCCAATCTCACTGTTACAGAGCCTTTTAAAAGGCTTGCCTTCAATTTTACTGCAGCCTCCTAATCAGTTTCTTGCCTAGAGTCTTCCTCAGTTCCAATCCACAGGATGGACTCTAAACACTACTTATAAACTTACCAAATCTAAACTTGTAATGTCTACTGCCTCAGGAACTAGTTAACCCTTCCCCTAGCACTTAAGTCATCTCACAGCATAGTCCCAAACAGCTTTCCCACTCGTGCTCAAGCTGGACCGCATCCTCTCTTTATTTTTATTTTTTTTGCGGTACGCGGGCCTCTCACTGTTGCGGCCTCTCCCGTTGCAGAGCACAGGCTCCGGACGCGCAGGCTCAGCGGCCATGGCTCACGGGCCCAGCCGCTCCGCGGCATGTGGGATCTTCCCTGACCAGGGCACGAATCCGTGTCCCCTGCATCGGCAGGCGGACTCTCAACCACTGCGCCACCAGGGAAGCCCCGCATCCTCTCTTTAAATTATCTTTCAGTCTTCAAACCTTTGCTCATGCTGCTCACCCCTCTTGGAATACAACTCTCAAACACCTATTTAAAATTCAAAACTCCTCTCAAATTCTACTTGCTCTGTAAAGTCTTTCCTGGTTTACTCAACTTTTCTATGAATGGTCACGTCACTTCTTACACCCCAGCACTTAGAACATTCTGACTTGAACAGTAGTCATCTGTGGATCTGTCTCCCTCCCCCACCATCTACTAGACCGTAAACTCCCTGAGGGGAGTTCATACATCCTTACATGACTTGTAGCACCCAACAGGACACACAGAAGAACAAAAACAGACATACGTTTATGAACTATTACACAAACTGTACAAAAACTTAAGTCACTGTCTCATATACGGAAGAGGGAAAAGGGCACTAGATATTGTGCGTCAATATACATATTTCTGTTGATTTATACCATAAAACTGGCAAGCAGGAAAACAATAAAATGTGGCAACAACAGGAACAATCATTCATCTATGATAAGGAGTTCTAACTAGACATCTATAAAAAAGAACCATGAATTACTTCAAAACAGTGATTATCAGCATCAGAATGTGAAGTAATGAGTAACCTTAGACCTTCTGGTGCTGGACAAGGTAGCACGACAGTTTGTTAAATTTAACAAGTTCAGACTCTGAAGTTAGACAGACCTGAGTTTGAATCTCAGCTCTGCTACCTTCAACCCATGTGACTTTGGGCAAGTTACTATGTCTCTATGCCCCAATATTCAGTTAAATATTTACGAAACAATACTATGTTCTAGGCACTGGGACTATAAAAAATAAAACAAAGGGTTCCTGACCTCAGGAACTTACGTTCTAGTAGGGAAGACAGACAATAAGCAAATATATATACAGTGTCGTTGTACTAAGTGTTATAAAAAGAATTTTTTAAAATGCAGGTAAGGGGACAGAGTGACCAGGAAGGCTATTTAGATAGAGCCTGGGGGAGACCTCTGTGAGGAGGTAGGTTTTGAATAGAAAGACACCTGAGTAAAGTGAAGGAAAAAGCCACAAGAATAACTGGAGAAACGAGCATTCTGGACAGAGGGAGAAGCATGCCTGGCCTGCGCAGGGAACAGCAATGAGGCTCGCATGGCTGGAGTGGCGTGAGCTAGGAAGAGAGGTAAGAGACAAAGAAACACTTTCTGAAGGGCCTTTAGGTCAAGTAAAATACTTAAGACATTTTTCTAGTGAGACAGTACTCTCTTAAATGGCTTTGAGCAGGGAAAAGACCTGGTCTAACTTAGACCACAAAAGTCTCCTCCAGATTGATGAACAGGGCATTAAGTTTAAGAAGGAAAACAAAAAGACTCAATTGGGAGACCATTACGGTATCTACACAAGAGGGTGGTGCTTGGGACTCAGGTGGCAGCAAGGCGAGGTAAATTTAGAGAATATTCTTAAAGGTAGAGAAAACAGTATTCTGATGGATTGTATGCGGGGTCTGCACTCTCACGGGAGGTGTGGTCCCAGTTAGCCTCGCTGATTCTTATATTGGTGAGAAATATTTAAAGAAAGAAAGAAGGTATTATAGCTCAAGGAATTTAAACTAGTGTTAGCCCTAAAAATTAGCTATATCTGGTACATTTAAAAAGCATATACTACAAACAGAAATGACTTACTGCTAGGTCAAGGCTTTTCTCCCCTACAAGACTGCTGAATACACATAATCATTTTATCTAGCAATATAATATTTAAAAAACACATCATGAACTATGAATAAAAAGGTTCAATTTAAGAGTTCCTGGAGGTAAAACTCACAAAAGTGTGAGGTCCCCCTAATGACTGGGGTGTAGGTGGGTGCCTGAGATTTTAACTCAGCCTTGTCCACGCTGAGCCTCCAGTAATTCATCAATTATGGTTTAGGTTTTCCTACCCCTAGCACTGGTTTTCACAGAGGTTTCTGTTCTGGTTAAGTTGTGCTTCTCTGTATTCACCTGTCTCTCCAATTTGGGAGACAGGAGCTTGCCCTGTGACCTCATTTTTCTGACTTATCCAAGAAGAACTGTTCATTTTTCAGTCTATTCAGCTTTTCATTTATTTTAAGGCACAGGTTGGGCTTTATAAGAAGGCGGCAGGAGGGTCAGAATCAGAGAAGGCAATAGGATGATGCTGGCAGAAAGAGAAGTGATGACAGAAGCAGAGGCTGGAAGGATGTGCTTTGAAGATGGAAGTAGATGCCATTGCTAAGGAACACAGGCAGCCTCTAGAAGCTGAAACAGACAAGGAAGCAGATTCTCCCTTAAAACCTCCAAAAGGAACACAGCCCTGCTGGCAACCTTGGCTTTAGTCCCACAAGACTAATTTTGGACTTCTGATCTCCAGCACTATAAGGATAAATTTGTGTTGTTTTAAACACACCTCCCCCTACACACACCCCCAAAAAGTTCAACTTTTAAAACCCTATAATCTAGTATAATTCAGTTTCAGGATACCTTACGCAAACATATGACTTAATGTAAGTATAATAAATGGATAAGATGATTTCTGAGACATTGAATCAAAGTTATTGAGCAGTAACTCAGATCAAAGCCAGATAGGGGGTTGACTACTATCTGAGTTTCCCCCTATCTCCCAGGAATCCTCAAAAACAACAGAAAAATCAGCTGGAGACAGATGTCACAGAGCAGTCAAAGGACATCTCTCAGCCCCCGTGTTCTCATTATTTATCTCAGCCCTTTCTTATACTTTGTGGTCCTGGGTAACTCCTATATTTCAAATACTCTAGTTTTAGTACTCTTCTTCTGGGAAGTGTTATAAGCTATTTGCCTAAAAACAGTTTATTAGCTGAAACAGGACGGGAACACTCAGAACAAAGAGACAGTCCTAAGACATATTTAAAAAATCAAATTGTTATTCCAAGCATAAAAAAAACAGACACTGAAAGGTTAAAGAGGTAAACTCTCCCTCTTCCACAAACTGCTTTTTAAAGACTTAAGAAAAGGTTTGCGCAGCTATCTTTGGAAATTTTGATAATTTCTTCTCTCTATATATTACATCCCCAAATACTATGTACCTAGTATCAAATCAACGGCGCTTAATCAAGGAAGAACAATATTTGGTCTGTACTCTTCGGGCTGGAGTGGGTGGGGAAGATTAAATTACAATGGCAGTGGCTACTACCTCAGAAGCCAAGTGGAAGGAGCAATGCAGGGTGGCGGGAGGAAAGGCACGGGCTCACGGACATGGGCCTTGGTTTGGGGTTGAGCTGGGGAAGGCTCACGGTGGCATCGTCCCGCGGCTGCCAGAGGCGGGCGGAGGACCAGGTGCAGCCGCCCGCCACTTGTCCAGCCGAGGCCGGCGGAGGCCGCGAGGGATGGCCACTCACTCACCTGGTTGGTGACCTGAAATGGAAGCAGAAAACACAATTTAGGGAACGATCTTTCTTGCTCCGGAGCCCACTGCCCCGGCTCCTTCCAGGCCAGGTCTTACCTTGGCCTTAGCATCCAGCTGTGGCTCGCTACACCCCTCCATAGCAGCGCCCCAGAACCCCACCACCCACTCAGGTGGAAGCTCCCGGGGCCACCACCCCTTCCGCTTCCTCTTCCCGCCCCTCGCGGCCCGTCGCACGCAGCGGACGTGGGGGGAGGAGGGCAGAAACATCTTTGTATACCTCATCCTTAATCTCAATTAGACATCAGTTTTATGGAGCCGATCAGTAACAACGGAAACACTGTAGGGGAAAAGGTCCGAAAACTGGCAGATACCTTGTGAAGGGAAGGATAGATTATCTTTTAGGTGCCGTCGCCCCCTACTTATGCCATGGACGTGGACTCTTCCTGCCTGCAGCGCCAGGCGCCCTTTGAGCGAGCGCAGACTTGTAGCTGCGCAGACTTGTTAGAAATTGATGCTAACCGAGTTTGAAAGCTGTGGGACAATCGCTCCCCCTTCCCCACAGATGTTTGTCCTGCGAGGGAGATGCCAATGGGACCTTTAGTTTTATGATTAGCTTCTGTCACTCGGATTCATTTCACTGGCCTAGCTTGGAGGTAGGGTGGGCATGCTTTTTGTTACGCTCCTTCGTGGAGGATAACACGAAGTGCTGGGAGCTTTATAGTCACATAAGCCTGAATCTAAAACCCTCTACCACTCAGCTGTACGCCTTGAGTAAAGGTAGACTTTCCGGAGATCGGCTTTCTAATTCGTAAAACTCAGGCTGTAGATATTTGTCTCACAAGGCTTTATGAAAGGTTCTGTGACATCCCATATGTAAAGCACATAGCAAAGTTCCTGAACATAGCGAGTACTCAATAAATACCAGCTCCTATCATCATCGTCATGATAGTCAATCCTCAGAAGAAGCCTATAAGTTATCTAGATCACAAATTATCTCCATTTTAAAGTTGAGAAAATGGAAATTCAGGAATGTTAAGCAATATCAGCTAACTAATAGATAAAACTTCAAACTCTGGTTTTAATGTACGGTCTGCAATCTAATTGCAGAGAACTCCAGAGGGGTTTAGCGCTCCCAGTGTACCTGCTGAAATCCTTTTCCAGCTGCCTTGTGCTAATTGAATGTTCTATTTATACTCCAGGCTACTGAAAAATATGGATGATTGTGTGTGTGTTTGTGTGTGTTGCAGGGGTGTTGGGGGAAGTAGATAGTGGTGGAAATCCACGGGCAGCCTGAGCAACGATGCAGAACGGAGAATAAGCATGATCACTGATGCTAGAATCATAGAGGTTTTAGAGCTTAAAGCAGCGTACGTACCACAGATTGTTAGATTTGGGGCCAAATTTGACGGACCTACATATTTAAAACAAAACACAGCAAGTAAGACAAACTCTATCAGAAACTGAATGGCAATGCATTTAGATAGGTTTTATGTGTTCCATATTGTCACTGTCCCACATTCTTCTTTCAGCTCACCTGGCCGAGTCACACATTCACCTGAAAGCTGCACGACATACTTTTTAACCTTTGGCTTAAGGGGAACTTATAGGGTCTCATTTAAAAAATGAGACCCTAAAAAAAATTAAGGGCCTGGCTTATAGAAACACAACAATATTATGTTAGTCGTGATTTCTGATCAGGTGCAGACAATTTTTCATCCATACTGTGGACAGATGAGACCAAATTGTGTTAAGTTTTGATGTGTCCTTTTTTTTTAAGTTAATTTTTATTTATTTATGTATTTATTTTTGGCTGTGTTGGGTCTTTGTTGCCACGCGCGGGGGGTGTCTCTAGTTGCTGTTAGTGGGGGCTCCTCTTCGTTGCGATGCGTGGACTTCTCACTGCGGTGGCTTCTCTTGTTGCAGAAGCACGGGCTCTAGGCTCGCGGGCTTCCGTAGTTGTGGCTTGTGGGCTTAGTTGCTCCAAGGCATGTGGGATCTTCCCCGACCAGGGATCGAACCCTTGTCCCCTGCATTGGCAGGCAGATTCTTAACCACTGCGCCACCAGGGAAGTCCCGATATGTTCTTAAGTATTGCAAAAAGGCTATGTTTTAGGATGGTTATTTGGCAATGCAACAAAGGCTAAAGGCAGATACAGCATGAAGACAGCTGGACGTATTCCTATTATGACAAGTAATATAAGACAGAGTAATCATCGTGGTGTGCCATGAATGAGTTACAGGTGTGTAGCGAAATTGACACCACCACCACCACCACCCCACCACCCCGCCATAGCCCTAAGGAAAGCCAGGTGAGGCCTCATCCTAGAAGATTCCCTGAGCTGGTTATGACTGCAATGACAACCTTATTTGATTAAGTCAGGTGTTGTACAAATACCGAATTTCATAAATTGTTAGATGCATATTTTTTCGCATCTGACTCCTGAGAAATCATACTGCACATTGCATCAGATGGCTGCTTACAGTGGCGGGTAGGCAGGCAGCAGGTGTGACTTAGTTGTTTTTGCAGGTGTATACGTGAACTTGGTTACAGCTGTTCAACACTTCTATTGAATCACAGGTATTGCTGGCTGTGTACATACTATGTTTAAATGCCATGTGAAATGCCTTTAAAAAGATTATGCTGTTGAGGAGCAGCTAAGCCCGTGCGGCACAACTACTGAGCCCACGTGCCACAACTACTGAAGCCTTGGCGCCTAGAGCCCGTGGTCGGCAACAAGAGAAGCCACCGCAATGAGAAGCCTGCGCATCGCAACGAAGAGTAGCTCCCGCTCGCTGCAACTAGAGAAAGTCTGCACACAACAACGAAGACCCAACGCAGCCAAAATAAATAGACAGACAGATAAATAAATAAATAAATGTTCCTTTAAAAAAAAAAATTATGCTGTGATTTGGCATAAAAAAAGTTACCAGGAATGGAACCAGGCATGGAAAGAGAACAGTGTGTTGTAAACTTAGATCAGTAAGGCAAATATGGGTTATTGGGGGGACGACCAAAATTCCATGTGTTCTTACAAATCAACCAAATTACAATTCCTAAAAAGGTGGATATACTTGAGTAGATAAAACAAAAGTGTTGCTTATTTCAGTTCAAGGTTGGAGAAGTTGCCAGATCCCTCAGAATATAAGAAAGAAATTTATAAAAATGAGAGAGCAGTTTTTGAGTCTCAAATACTTTCGTTAAGACATCAAACATCAGTTTGTCAAAAACTTCCCAGTGTGTTTGAATAGAAGCTGCTGAATTTGCAACAGTTGCTGAAAAAAATGAAACTATGAGTTTAGTCATGTAGGAAATAACATTTTTCGGAGGTTCAACTGCATGTTTTTATTTGGTTATTAGAATTTGGGGCAGCTGTATCAATTATCTGACGACTCCTTTGAATTTGAGTATGAAAATTTTTGGTAGATATAGCAATTAGGTGTTGCTGTGTAAAAAAGCCCTGTCCCCCACAGATTCCCAATGTCATACTACAAACAAACATTTATTTAGCTTACATGTCTTGGGGGTTAGCAGTGAGTTGGCCAGTGGAGGCTGGGCTCAGCTGAGGCATTTCTGCTATGTTCCAGGTGTCCTTACTCTCTTCCTGGAACCAGCAGGCTGGCCCAAGCTCATTCTTCTCCAGGTGATGACACAAGTACAAACAGCAAGCAGAAGCTTATTCAGGCCTGGATTTCGAACTGGCATACAATTATTTCTGCCTCATTTCATTGACCAAAACAAATCACATGGCTGAACTCAATGTCAAGGAGTGGGTAAATATACAGTTAATTCTCATTATAAAGTTACCACAAATGCTGAGTTAGTAAATACTGAACCATTGCTCCTAGTGGAAACAGGTTAAGTTCCTGTGAGCCTCTGGTCACATTTTAATCAACAAATCAACACATTTTTTATGTGCATTTTTGTTGAAAGTCCCCACATTTAATCTATATTGTTGATTCGTAAACACTGATCCCAGGGCTAACAGCACTGTAACTCATGCCTGAAGGAACTTATCTAATACATGTATTTTCTCTATAAGGCACATCACAGTCTTCCTGTGTGTGCGAACACAAAACAGCACATGAGCACAATGCTTGGGGCCATTTTATACAGTGAAATCATCAACAAAAACACACAAATGCCTTAAAAATGTGGCACTAAATAGACTGCAAAAAGGACACATTTCCAATACAAGACCTTGAACAAGAACGCAGAGCACAGACTTGCTCGACCTCAGCTGGGAACTCAATTTTTTTGCCACTCTGAGCATGTCTGTGAATGACCTTGAAAGTGACATGGGTACTGATTTGGGGGTTACAAATAAATGTTAGCAAGTAGGTAAATTCAAAACGCAGAACCCATGAATAATGAGGATTGACACTACTTTGCCTCTAGTGGAAAAAACTTCAGTGTTACATGGCAAAGGTTATAGATAAAGGAAGAATTAAAACATAGGGACCTGGGCTTCCCTGGTGGCACAGTGGTTGAGAGTCCGCCTGCCGATGCAGGGGACACGGGTTCGTGCCCCGGTCCGGGAAGATCCCACATGCCGCGGAGCGGCTGGGCCTGTGAGCCATGGCCGCTGAGCCTGCGCGTCCGGAGCCTGTGCTCTGCAATGGGAGAGGCCACAACAGTGAGAGGCCCGCGTACCACAAAAAAACAAAAAACAAACAAAAAGAAACATAGGGACCTTATACATATGTATAACTGAATCACTTTGTTGCACACCAGAAACAACATTGTAATCAACTCTACTTCAATTAAAAAATTAAAAAACAAAACAACAACAGAAAAAAAGGGAGCCAATAATGCAGAATCTTGGGCCCCATTTTAGACTTATTGAATCAAAATCTGCATTTCAGATTCCCTAGGTATTTTTATGTACATCCAAGTTTAAGAAGTACTGGACTCAATACCATGGTGGGTATATGCATGCCAGAGGCTGAGAATTAAACCCTACAAAGATCAGAGGCTACTACATTCATAAAGTTTTTTTTTTCTTTCTTTCTTTATTTATTTATTTTGGCTGCATTAGGTCTTCATTGCTGTGCGCGGGCTTCCTCTAGTTGCGGTGAGTGGGCTTCTCATTCTGGTGGCTTCTCTTGTTGCGGAGCACGGGCTCTAGGCGCGCGGGCTTCAGTAGTTGTGGCACACGGGCTTAGCTGCTCTGCAGCATGTGGGATCTTCCCGGACCAGGGATTGAACCCGTGTCTCCTGCGTTGGCAGGTCGATTCTTAACCACTGCACCACCAGGGAAGTCCCTCATAAGGCTTTTATGGGTCCAAAGGTCTAGCCCATAATGGGACAACCTCTCTAAGATGAAGGATAAGCTATTGTACCCTGCAAGAGGCAGAGCACTTGGTGGGTTTCTGGCTTTTGGATGCAGCATACATCACATTTGGGAATACAGGTGCAACACATTTATTGGGTGATATGGATGGCTGCCAGTTTGAGTAGATCCCTGAGCAAGAGAGTCCTCTGCAGCAAGTCCATGCTGGAATGCAAACTACCTTCTGTTTGGCCCTAGATCTCAGCAGATCCAATGGTGCTAGAGAGGTCCACGCTGTGTGGAGTCCTAGGGAAGCCCTAACAGGAGGGTGACAGTGCAGGACCTCAAGGTTCTGGACCAACGCCATTCCTCTGACAGTAAGTCATTTGAAAAACAACCCCTGGCATGCCACTAAGAGCCTGGCTGTGCAACTGAAGTGATTATGCAACTATGGCTTCCCATGATGAGCTGGACATTTCAGATGTACCACCTCACAGTTGGGTGGTATTGCAACAATCTCTCAGATAGATAAGGAGAATGGGGAGTCTTGGAAATTCCTTGGAAGTTGAATAGTGGCCAGAAGAACATGAGTGGGAGAGTTGGAAGTTCCCCAAGAAAGGCAAGCTCAGTGTAATTATCTTTTCCTCACTCCCTAACTGCTCCTCTCCCTGCATTCCCTCTCTTGGGTGCAGCAGTAACACGCACTCTACCCCAGGTCAGATCTCTGGAGTCGTCATTGACAGTGCGGGCTCAGCAGTAGGATACCCCCTTCAAACAGTATCTCTTTATTCTATGCCTGCCCCTCCTGCCCTTCCGTCACCGCTATTGCCTTAATTAAGTCTCTCATCATTTCACTCTGGCAAATTTTCCACATTATTGAAAATGGGGTTTATGCATATCTGATTATTCCATTCACTCCTCAAATATTTATTGAGCATCTACTATGTGTCAGGCACTGGGTTAGGCTTTGGGGAGAACGATGTGAGGAATTCAAAAATGACATTGCTGCAGGCCTTATGGAATTCACAGCCTGATGGAAAAGAGAGATGAAAATTCTCCTTAAAATCCTTCAGCGGTTCCCCGCTGTTTTCAGTATGAAGCCCAGATATCTTGACCAGTTAGTCCCTTCCTATCTCTCCAAAACTGTCTCTAACCACTGCCCTTCAGTCTTGCAGGCTCTGCAGCCACAGTGCACACTTTCCCTTCTTCCGAGCACCCTCCTCTCTGACTGGCTACCATCGACTTTTTTAAAGGCTCACTCTAGCTGTCCACTTCCTCCAGGAAGCCTTCTGGACACTCCCTTTCCCCGTTAGCTGCCCTTTTGTGTAGTTTCACCAACCTCATGCTACCACTATCACACGTGTATCACACTTCATTGTGATTCTTCGTTCTTTTGTCCACCTCTTCTACCCTACTGTAAGCTTAGCTTTGTGTACCCAACTCTTAGTTACAGCGTCTGACTCATAACAGGTACTTGACATTTTTTCTACACGGAACTGTGTAGGTATATAGAAATGTTCCCCACTCTGTAACAGCAGACAAGGCCGACATATCACTTCTGCACCCTGGCAAAGGAGCTTCTGAGCACGACTGGCGTCCTCTGGGTGTGGGGCCTCCTGACTGGCAGCGCCCAGGTCCCTCCCTCGACGAACAGGACTCAGCGGCGCGCCCCCTAGCGTCTCCGGCTGATGATACAGGCATGGGAGGGCGCCCTAGAGCACGCGGTCCCAGACCCCCGCTTGGCGCATGCGTGGCACTGGAGCAGTCCCGTCGGTTCGGAAGAGTCCAAGCGCGAGGGGAGAGAGCTGAGATTCTTTTCCCTTCTGCAATAGGAAGCTGGCTCCTATTCTTTTCCTCTCCGATTGTATCTTAATTTAAAGTGGAAACCTTGACTTGTGGTTCTGTAGCGAGCGATAAAGGAGCTAGAGTGTTGTTAGACTTTTCTAAGTCTCTCGGCACCACTCCCTCGGGGCGCAGGGTTGGACGGGTCCAGGTCAGGAGCAAGGGGGCGGAAGCGGCGGCGGCTGTCAGAGCTGGAGAAGGGCCGGGCGGAGTGGCCATGGAGAGTCAACGCTGGCTGCCGCTGGAGGCCAATCCTGAGGTGAGCGTGGCTCGGGTCTTGGCTTGAGGCCGCGGGCGGGGGCGGAGGGCACCGGGCTGCCGCCTCTAGTCCCGGGCAGTTTGTCGCTAAATGGTGTTCTCTGTTTCGTTTTCAGGTCACCAACCAGGTGAGTGAGGTGTCTTGTCGCTTGGGACCCTGGCCGCCTACACCCCTGCACTCCCCAGGAGTCTGGGATTTAACTCCGTGAGGGTCCTTCTTGCTCACCTTCAGACGGGCGTGCCCTGTTTGCGGCCGCTTCCCTTCCACCTGGGTCCTGGAGATGCTCCCAGCTGTCTCTGGTCCCATTCCCCGTCATCAGCGTTTCCTGGGTTTTTTGGGTCAGAGGTTTTGAGGGACGTTCACCCTGTATTCCAGTTCCTCTTCTCTCTTCGTTTTGCCTCCTGCTAGTGCCGAATCCATGATTGTCCCAGCCCTGTACCTTCTAGGTGACTAATTTGCCTGCAGCACCTGACTCCAAGCTTTGTAAAGGCTCCCACTCAGTCCTTGTAATCTCATCCGCCACTTGCACCATGAAATCATCTTCCAGTCATCTTCTTTCGCCCGATCAAGTCACTTCTCTTCTCCGCCACGCCCCCTTTCTCTTCCAGTTTCTTAAAAGTGGAATTTAGTTGCTTTTATACCATAGGAAAGCTCAATTCCCACGTCATCCTTTGCCAGCTACAACCCTTTAAGTTCGTTTGGGTGTTGGAGGTTCGGGATGGGGAAGGAAGAGGGAACATCTCGCAGCCTCTCGATCGAAAGGACAATAAGTGCTACCAGGTATAAACTTTTTATTTGCTCAGGTGTATTTTGTCTTCTCCTGTTTTTCATTCTCAACAGCAAGTTTACTTTTTACTGCCCTCTTAGTTTATCATACTTCTCCCCCCCACAATAATCTTCCTTCTCATCACCAAGGAATAATGATTCATCCTGTACTTCATTGGTTTTCGGTTTTGAAAGCTTGTAGAAAATTCCTTATATAAAGAAAGCAGATAGAAGTGCTTTATTTTAATGTTGTCAGCAAACTATTTTTTTATTCGGGTTTATTACATGCTATTGAAATGATTATTACTGCCTTAATTCTTGTCTCTTTAGTAATCTAGTAATTTAGTAATGAACAAAGCTTGGAACACAGCATATATCTTTCATGTTATTAAGGTGGCATTTCCTATCAATATTAATTTTCTTTTGTTTTACCCTCTTTGACATTTGTTGTTCATTTTTTTGCCTAAAACATTTTGACAGCTTTGTAAAGAAAAAAATTTTCCTTCTGAAGAAGTCAGTATTTACAACTTCTGATTTAGTGCCCTAGGAAGGAAGCATATTTCTCTCAGACCTAATTCCAGATATTTTTATAACTTTGGTTAAAAATCAATTTACCGTATATCTGGGCTCTGTTCTATTCTATTGATCTATGTGTTTGTTTTGATTACTGTAGTTATATTACTGTGGTCTTGAAATTAAATAGTATGAATTCTCAAACTTCATTCCTTTTCAAAATTGTTTAGGCTGTTTTAGTTTCTTTGCCTTTCGATATAAATTTTAGAATCAGCTTGTCAACTTACACAAAAAATTTTGGTATGATTTTGATGACTAGGCCTATAGATATATTTTGGGGAAAATTAACATCATAACAGTATTGAGTCTTGCAATCCATGAAGCTGGTACCTCTCATCATTTACCTGGGTCTTTGATTTCTTTCAACAGTGGTCTGTCGTTTTAGCATGTCGATCTTGCACATTTTTTTGTTTGTTTATACCTAAGTATTTAATGATTTTTGGTGCTATTGTAAATGATGGTGTTTTAAAATTTCATTTTCTAGTTGTCCATTGCTATGTATAGAAGTATAATTTATTTTTACATGTTAACTTTGTCCTGCTGCTGTGCTAAATTCACTTACTCTAGTGGCTTTTTTTGGTAGATGCTTTGGGATTTTCTATACAGACAGTCATATTCTCTGTGGTTAGACTGTGTTATTTTTCCCTTTTCAGTCTGTATGCTTTTTATTTATTTTTCTTGTTGAACTAGTTAGGACCTTTAATACAAAATTGAGTAGGATGGAGAGAGAGAGGACATCCTTGTCTTGTTCTGGAACTTAGAGGGAAAACATTTGATTTTTGATCATTAGATATGTTAGGTGTAGGGTTTTGGTAGATGCTTTTTTATCAGGTTAAGGAAGTTCCCTTCTTTTCTGAGTTTGCTGAGAGTTTTTATCATGGATCACTGTTGAATTTTCTTAAATGACTTTCCTATATCTCTTGAAATGATCATTTAAGGAAGAAATAATACTAATCCCACATAAACATAGAAGAGGGGGGCACTTCTCAACTCATTTTATGGCCAGCATTACCAGACAAGCTGTAATAAGAAAAACTGCAGACTCTCCCTCATGAACATGGATGTAAAAATCCTCTACAAAATATTTGCAAAGAGAATGCAGCAGTATATAAAAAGGATAGTGTATCTTGATGAAGAGCCGTTTCTTCTGTTATTGCAAAGCTGGTTCACTATTCTAAAGTCAATCAGTGTAATTAACTGTATCAACAGACTAAAAAATAACAATAATTTTTAGATGATACCATTATTATTTTTAATAAGATGTAAGCTTATATAATTGGAAACCTATATTCTAAACCTATGTTCTAATTGGAAACCTTTGTTCCTGAGTAATCTTGGTAGACTATAAAACACATTCACTTATTCACATCAATTAAATAATATTTGAGGGGCACCTTTTGGAATACCAGATATCTGTGCAGGAGCTGGTTATATTTGGTGATGAAAACATTTATGGTTTTCTGCTTTTCAGTCCATTGGGAAGACAGACAATAAACAAGTAAGCAAACAAATAGTTAGCAATTATTATAAGTGCAGTGGAGAAAATTAATGGTACAGTGATGAAGACCATCAGGGAAAACATACTAGGTTGGATGGTCACAGGAGGCCATTCTGTGGTGACATAAACAGAGAAAAGATATTATTAGTATATGATTGTACACTATTTCTGGCATGCTTTGGTGTGGTTAAGTTTGTTTTAAATTTATTTTCTTTAATTAAAAAAATTTTTTTCGTGTTAGTTTCTGCTTTATAACAAAGTGAGTCAGCTATACATATACATATATCCCCATATCTCTTCCCTCTTGTGTCTCCCTCCCTCCCACCCTCCCTATCCCACCCCTTTAAATTTATTTTTTAAAGAAGTAATGTACATTTAGTGGGAGAATGGACAAGTATCTAAGAAGTAATCAGTGTAACCAAAATTTTTGTAGTTGTTTCTTTATTCTCTTTATGTTAGTGGCAGAACTGAGGATCGAAAATGAATGGAAATTTAATTAACTCACTCAGAATTTGGAAAATTTATAAATTAAGCCACAGATTAATCCCAACAACAATATCCATCCCCACCTTTTCTTCTTTCCTCAATTGAATGGAATCATAGGCCTTTTACTTATCTTGATTTCACTCTGTTACCATTTGTTGCTTGCATGTGTCATTATACTCAGTGTGAGCAAACACTGTTTAGTGCTCTAACAATGCCTAATTGGTATAAGAATGATTAACACATGTCTACTATATGAAGGTTGTTAGTAACTGTTAGACGTTAACTAGTAACCATATGTCTCAGTAGATGTAGTAAGTAGTGATTTCTTTTGTTGGTTTATATGCTGTCACTGCCTTCTCAGGATATTTTGTCTTGCTATAGGTAGGACTTACCTAGAATAAAATCAGTTAAATGATAGAAAAAATTATTTAAAAAATTGAAGCTCCATTTTATTTACATATGCATTTAAGGGGTAATAGCAGCTTGTAGCTGATGGAAAGTTACAGGTAATTAAGCATCAGGAATTATAACTTTTTTTTAAAAGAACATTTTGTGATGTGGGCAATCATAGAATTTCTTTTTATGACCACACTAATAATCATAATAATCATCTTGATTATGTTTTGTGATTTGAGTATTGCACAGCCACATTATGTAATTTTAAATATTGCGTTTTAGAACCACCCATTTCTGATGTGGAAATTCCCTAGAAATATTCCTAATTGTGGATTTTATTGAATAGGCAAAATATTTTCTGGCTGAAGGAAAAGAAATTTACTTAATGTAATTGTTGTATTTAGTTGCTTAGTGTTGGAAAAAGATTTAGAAGTCATCTGCTAAATTATTGCCATGAACATACAAATATTCATTAGTTAGTGTTTCTCATCTTGGGAAAAACACCCTTGTTACCCTGACCTCCTCTACTACCTCCTCTCTGTTTCCCTTCTTTGTAAATTTTCACAAAGCATTGTCCATAGACGCTCTTGCTACTTTCTCATCAGCGTTTTTTTCCCCTGTATTCTCTCCCATCTAGTTTGCTTCTATCCTTACCATTTCACAGTAACTACTTTTCTCAAGTTTATTAATCACGACTTGGCCAGATCCAGCGTTCACTTTTCTGTCACCATTTTCTTGATCTCTCAGCAACATTTGGTAGAGTAGCCCACTCCATCCCTCTTGAAACATCTTTTCTTGGCTGCTGTGATAATTCTGGTTTTCCTCCTATTTCTCTGACTGCTTCTTAGATTTGCCTTTGCTGGATCATTTCCCTTCCAATTACTAAGGAGTTCCTCAGAACTTTGTCCTACACTGCTAATCTTTTTATATTTTCTGTTGTATAGCACTAGTACTGTCAGTTGTCACCTATTCTGTGTGACAGATCCTGTGTTCCTCCAAGTCCTGACTTCTCTACAGAATTGGAAACTACTATATTCAGCTACCGCTTTTACAGTATATCTCATTTGGATGTCTTATAGATATCTCAAATTTAACATGGCTGAAAAAGAAATCTGGCTTTACATCCTCTCATTTCTCCTGCAAATCCACTTCCCCAGTCTTTTAAGGGTACCACCATTTATACAGTGCCCAAGTCAATGTCATTAATTCTTCACAACTATGCTAGTTTGGAGAGGCCATTCTTGTACTGATTTAATTTCTTGGGTTTGAATCTCTGCTCTGAGACTATAGGCAGTTACCTAGCCTCTTTGTACCTCAGTTTCTTAGTTTCTTATAACCCCTCCTAATCCTGTAAAATTGTTGTAAGGATGAAATAAATTGCTGCATGTAAATTATGTATGGCAATGTAT